ACACACACACACACACACACACACACACACACACACACACACACACAGCGCCCTCTCTCATTTCCACCAGTGTCTGGCTCTCCCATCCACCCTCATGGCCAAATGCACTGTGGGGTAGAGCAGAGTGGTGAGCATTATGGTGACATGTTTATGGCGGCTGTGAGCAGCGGGGGACATTACCAGGAGTTGTGGCACAGGTAATTCATTACGATGTGACCTCTGAGGAGGAAATGAAACGGAGTCAAGCTCCATGTGTTAGCTGCCTACGCGGGATACTGAAAACAACATGGGGAGGTTAAAATGATCTATTATCAATATGTTTAGCATAGACAGCAACTTAGACGTATACATACGCACTAAGTCATACACACATCTCTACAAAGACACATTTGTACAAACATAATAACACACACGTATCGCTGCTCATTACAGACATTAATGGATTTGTGTTATGCATTAGGGCTGCAACTAATGATTATTTAAATTTCCGATTAATCTGGCAATTACATTCTTGATTTATCATGTGTGCAAAATGTCCAAAACGTTTTAGCTTCTCAGAGATCAAGACGACTTCAATTGCTTGTTTTATCTGACCGAAAGTGCAGAACCCAAAGATATTCATTGCGCAATAATGTAAAACGGAGCAAAGCCGCAAATAATTACAACGGAAGAGCTGTAAAATTAACAGAAGCGCTGAATCCATTATATCCAAATAGTTGCAGATTTCTGTCGATCAAATAACCGACTAATCATTTCAACTCTAATATGCATTTTCCAACACAAATGTCAGTGTTTTTAGACTCATATCCAGCATTTGTCAACTTGGAATTTCATGTTTAATTGCAGGTGTTCCCAAACCTGCGTTTTTTGAAAGCTGGAAAAGCCAAGTGACACAAACACTTTGGCTTAAATGCATAATAGGATGGATATAATCAGACCCCGCTTATTTACAAAGGTTTGAGAATTTCAGGGATACACGAGATAAAGTAATTTGCCAAAAGTTTTAGGTTCAATTTAGCTTTTACAGTCTAATTAGTGTAGCTGTAGTAAAGGAGGAATCCTCATATCTGCATCATTTGACAATATCTTATGTTTAACGTGATCTATTGAAGCATTTAATTAATCTGAAGCGACAAGTAACACATTTCAGTGCATCGCACCACACGCCCATGTTGTGTGATAGAGGTGGTACATCCTCACTATGAAGAACGCTTCATCGAGCACAGGAGCCCCCCGTGTCGCAGTCACCGCACAGGAACAGGAGCAATGGTGTCGGGGGATGGGGAAATGTAATTAGGCCCACCAGGTGCACAGATCAGGGAACTAGTTACTGCTTCCTAAATTTATTACTTCCGCACAGATTTTGGGGGTGCATACCAAAATCTACTAAATGAGCCTCCAGCGAGAATTGGCAACAAACAGACTCATTGTTACCAAGCCCGGACACTTGAGGCCAACAGTATACGCCAGGCCCCAGCAGCACACACGCTCTCAGGTCTGAATAACACGGTCGCTATTTGCTTCTGGTCTGCAGGGGCCTGGTCGCTCAGTGACAAGGTAAACACTTCACTGGCTTGGTGCGTGCAGGTTTTTCATGCCCACGAGAACACCAGACCATTGAGGATATCTTTCAAGCTTAACATGACCCAGTGTTAAAATCTTCCCTCTGGTCGTATTGGTGTTTTCTGGGGCTCATTAGCAACCCGCTCTCTTAAAGTTAGCTCAATTTGTTCACAAAGGTCTAAGTGGACCACCCAGTGCTCATACCATCAACTTGAATCTGCTGTCAGGTTGGTGGACAAGCAATAGCAGATCTATTTTGAGTTTGTTTTATCATAATTGACGTGGGATGGATAATTATTCAATATTTCATTTTAGTTCATTTGTTTTACGAGATTCTAATTAATGTTTTTTTTCAGGAAAAGCATAACACTTTAATTTGCATCGTCTATTAACACGGAGCTTTCAATCTGTACAGCATCAGCTACGACCAGCGAGGTGTCGAGGCTTCATATGTTTCAAAGTAACTGTAATAAAAAGTACAGTAGAAAACCAATTTGGATGGATTATATACATACATTAGTATAAGAAGTATTCCTTAAATTACCAATTAAATATCTCGCTCATTTTTTCTTTTTTAACATGTTGTTATTTACTGAAGCTTGGCCCTTTGGGCTGTTTACTGTATGACACAATACAGTGCGTTGTTAAATGAGTCCAGGAAGTACGTTTTGGCATAATATCCACCATAAACTTTTACATTACAGAGCAGGCATCACGAGAAAGCCCCCTCAACCAATAGCAGAGCAGCGCCACCTCTTGTTCACAGACATGACCAGCAGGCCGGCTGAAGGAAACGGGGACAAGAATGCCTGCTTGTTTTCCAGGCGCCTAATTATAAAGGAGAATGTGCTTTAAGCAGCAGGCCACCAGATGAGGAGGAAGACAGGCCAAATCAAGCACTCCCTCTGTAATTATGCTTCACAGGCACTTGGCACAACGCGCAAGATTTCGCACTTCTCAGAGTGGGCACAAGTCAGCAGACAAAGGAGGGGGGGAGGGGGGGGGGGGGGCAGCAAAGTTTTTCCACTCTGAGCAAAACTAATTGCCTCATTATTCCCCAATAAGTCATTTGGAAGCATTTTTTCTAAGGCTAACACCTCGGACACATGCACAGCACACTATCGTAGGGCAGAGGGTATTAAAGCCAGTCAAGCAACAAACAAGAACAACAGAGACAGCTGGGCCTTGTCAGCTTCAATAATAAGAGTCTAAAATATTAGATTTGGAAACAGATGTAGGAACTAAAAGTGTGTGAAACTACGAGGTGTGGAATTCACTTTGTAGCTTAGTTTATAAAAGCTTTACCGCAACACACAGAAAATAATGTTCATAAAATATAATATAACATAAAATGTATGTAAGATCAAACTAAATTAATTTGTTCCTGACATTTTGCTAATACACTTTTATGTACTTCTGTTATGGCGGAACAAATGAGACAACAAATCAATTAAATAAAACACATTTCTATATATAGTGATTTGTTGCTTTGATTTTTTTTTATGTATTTCATAATAAAGTGCATAGAGGCTGTAAATAAATTGGCCTGTGGCACTAAATGCACAACCATCTAGGAATTAAATTAAAAACCCTAAAATTAAGTTCTCATATACTCAATACCTTTATTTTTACATATTACAACAGTAAATAAATACATAACTTTTCACCCGTACAAAGAGGTGTCTTAGACTTTTTAAGTACATAAACTGGTTCTAATAAATGCATTTCACATATCTAATACGTAACTTTATTCTATACGGTTAATATTGCATTACTTCATACACAGAAGTTAGTGATGCTTCAGCTGAGGCCAATAAATGATTTCATAGCTTGACTTCCTCATCTCCACACACACACACATTGAGTTCTTGTTATTGTTTTGCACCACATGAACTAGAGGTGGCGCTGTTGATTTGTTTAAAGTCTTTAAAGGTACTTTTTACTTTTTCAGATTTGGAGTGGCACATATCCTTTAAAACCACATGAGGACAACTGAGTTTAAGAAAATAACGAATAATTGATTAAAGAAAGTTGTTTGCAGGAGGTTATATTGTAATGGTACGGTTGATTAGTGATCATCATACATTGTCAAGAGGGATATTTTAGCAAATGAATACTGCAACTTTTGTATATAGCTAATCTCATCCATTCAGTGGATAGAGACACAACAAAGGCTGAATATGATTGCAAGATATTTTCTTTTCAGAAATCAATACAGTATGTGATATTTTCCCAATATCATACATACATATTTTAACCGATGACATCTGACATAAGGTTGAAACTAATATGGGATATATGGATAATTATGTCTATTCGTAATGGTAGACAAAGCTAACGAGAAAAAAGTTTAATGATACTTCTAATAAAACAGCAGTAAGTCAATATCACACAAATACCAAAGTTTGATTTTAAAATATGATATGTGCAGTTATATGTTGTGCAGCTCTAAAAACTACCCTGTCAGATATATAATAACTGACATATAATAATAACAATATTTGCAAAGATAGGCTAAGGCATCATAAAATATGAAAAAGCATACCCTGAACTATATCATTATTAGAGAGAGAAACGTAACGCTTCTTCATGTTATAAAGTACGACAGTAACTTTAAGAGTGCAACCTTACTTCCAGCAAGTAGTCAAACTGCACTAAGTTGTCAGGCGGATTGAAACAAGCTAAAAGGTAATCAGTGTATCTTCATTGGCTTAAATGCAGAGTGCCAGTTAACTCACGACGCTTCAGAGGCAGCTCTGCGCGCGGGCCTTGCACTGCAATAATGTTGCACGAGCGAGTCGACGGAGCGTTAAGAAACTGCCTTCCTGTCGGAGTTTCAGTGCGGCTCGCTTGGTGTTGCAGCGATCTAGTGATACCGCTTTGATACGGACATGCAGGTGGTGAACAGGAACTGTAATGTCTACACATAAACACCAACAGCCCCACCACACCTAGCAACAGTGTTGTCAGGACGCAGGAAGTAACTTGCTAGCTCGCTAACTTAGCCACTTCTGCTAGCTGCAAACCTCGGCCATTGCTGGCTGCGGCGCTCATTACTTAAGGGCTCTTACCGATGTGGTTATCCTCGATGTGCACGATGAGCTCGGCCAGCGAGTCGAAGTGAAGTCCGCAGCCCCCGAACCTGCAAGCGTTGGAGAAGAAAGAAGCAGCGGCGATGCCTGTCATGGTCGTTGCTGCATTGGAAATGGGGGCAGGCAGCAGCAGCAGCGAGCAGCGGGGAGACAGCAGGCGGACAGCGGTGGGAACAGCTGGAGCGGCAGGGGCGGTGCGGTGCGGCAGGGGCGGTGCGGCGCCTTCTCCGTTCTGCATCAAACCAGCTGGAGGGAGGGAGAGAGAGACCGGAAGTAAGGCGGGTTGGTTTTCATTAGAAAAGCATTGATTGTTTTTAAGAAAAATGATAGACACATATTTGATCTAATAGTTGTGAACTGATACAACTATATTGCAAAGCAGTGATCAGCAAATACGAAGTGCTGTAAAGAATACTTTTATATGATACATTTAAGTATCACAATTTAAGTTAATTCATTTTCAGGTTGATCTAATCAGTTTATCAATTAAATAATATTAGTCAACGAATCAACCGAGCGATTACTAACTAAATCACTACATTAGTCTAATATTCTCCACTAAATATAGAATATTGTTTGTGTTATAACGATGCACAGTTTTTAAACATGTTGAGTGATCTCTCAGGACGTAATTCTCTCTTGAATTAGAGGATGTGTTAAAATAATAAATGTACTATACAACTAGTCTATAATATTATGTAATGATCCATGGTAAAAAATACAATAGATCAAATAACCTGCTGGATCCTTCCAACGTTTCAATTTGCCCCCCGGATGCAGTGTCTGACCATTTATATCAACACTAAATGATCTAATAGTGGTTTTATTGATATTATGTAATGATCAATAATTATTTTTTTGTGATGAACATTACTGAAACAGTTGAGGCATGGATCACACACTGGCGCAACATGTAGCTGAAGAACATGTGATGACCACAAGGTGGCAGTGTTGGTCAGATGTTAGATATGAGTCAGTTTTGTTCTTCGTGTTCAGTAATTTAAGTCTTCTATATATATCCCAAAAGAGTGTTGTTGCATGCATGATGCTATATCGTACTCAGAGAGAGCCATATCGAATATATATATATATTGTCAATACAAGTTGCTTAAAGCTTCTGTCTGCAAATTTCACTTAAATAACTTGTCAGGGCTTTGTTTTCCCCCGTCTGTTTTCAGTGGAAGAGGTAGAGTGATGCAATCACTTGCAAGACAAAAACAAATGTCTGCACAATGTACACGTAACAATACATATCACTGGTATGTAGAAAGTGAATATTAGTTATTGGAACACAGATCCACTGCAAATTGCCAAGAAATCAATTTTGAAAATGCTAAATGACAGTAATATTACTCACTTTAAATTTCTCCAATGACTTTGTTGTTTGCATTAATTGACTGTGTGCAGTGACTTAAAGTTGTTGTAGTGGGTCATCATTGATGAGGTAATAGATGCACTCTGTTGCCCTCTGTGACCAAGCCAACAAGTTTGAGCTAACCAACAAGATCATTTGCTCTCAGTCAGATAGTTACACTCCCACACAGTAAGGAGGGGCACCTGAATTCTTCTGGCCTTTACAATATTGCACCAAGCAGAGACGTATTCCAACCTCTATATCATTTCATGTATGTTTATGATATGAAATTAAATTGTCTTGAAACAGCTCCTTATTCCAGCTCCAAAAACTTCCCGAAGAAATGTATTCAAGTTCAAATCACCAATGTGTTTATCTGTAGTAGTCATAAGACTGAATGTTTTGCTGGCCAAGGTAAAGTATAAAGGGAGGAATGACACAATGGTCATACTGCTCTACAAATGTATCCAAAATCTTATTCAAACTGATATCATAACAATAACATCTTTGAAAATGAAGTATAGAAAGCTGTTGTTTTTATCATCCACTCATATCACACTTTTCAAAACCCAGCCAGAGAACATTTTTACAAATGACTTTAATAATCCAGAGTGAACAAATACAGAAGCCCAATTCAGTTGTCAAAAGATTGATGTACTTACCCACAAATGCTGAGCACAGAGGACATCCCCCTACACTTTCATAAATCTAAAGAGTCCACACACAGGCAGCACCAGTCACCAGCCACCTAATGTAGATGTTACAGGGTTGAGTGTTTGAGTGTGTGAATGTCACTGGGGTTATCTACTGGGAACCTCCCAGCACATATGTTTTGTTGAATTCGGCTCTCAGTTCCAGCAGTGATGTTTGGCGTCCAGGAACCCGAGGACCCTCCTGCTCAGACTTTTGGTCATTCTTTCAAGAAGCTTTAATCTGGAGACCCAATGTCATAAGATATATGGGGTATATTGTTTAAACAAATGCATATACAGAGTTGCCTACTCTATTGTTAAAGTTAAATTCCCACTGCCCTATTCAGAACTTTAATTACTGCATGGCTGTTTTTAAGTGTGGAGAAGCAGCTTTCATAGATGCTATGACATTGATACATTAGAGCAGAGCATGACCAGTTACTGAAGGGAGATTCATTTGAACCTCTGCGTATAAAAACTAGAACACATCTGTTGCCAAATATAGACTCAATTTTTTTAGCATTTAATTAGAATACCCTTTTCAGACATTTTGCAGAAAAAAATGCAACTCTGTGTATTTTTGCTCCCATCTTTCATGCAATTTTACAGTAAGTAAAGCTGTTTGTTAGGAGTGAAGGTAGCATAACAGTGAATGTATAATCTGCCATCTTGCTTGTTGTTCTGAGGAATGGCATGCAGTTATGCTGAGAACCCAACATTTCCATCCCTGCAGGCACAATCATCTCTAAGGTGTGCACAGCAGGAAACAATGTTTTAACATTCCACTTCTTTGAACGCCTTTCCATCTTCGATTATTGCACAAAGTAAAATACTTTTGAAGAAGTTTTATATTTTATTTAAAATTTGAAAGCCTGGATGACACTTTTGTTATTTAGCCTGCTTTCCCTTTTGCACCTGCTGCAACAAAGCATCCTCGCTGGTGCTAATCTTCCCAAGGTGATCCTACTCAAACGCATTGCACAAAGGCATAATAATAAAAGGTTTAGTATAATATAGATCAAATCTGCTTTAGTGTGGGTCACTGACCCAAACTGTATCAGCTCTTTCCAACCTTAATAGTCTGCTCCTCTGGGAACATAATGTTTGGATTGGTTGGGAAATATATTGGCAATAAAGAGACAAAAGGATGTCATAAACGTTGATTAAAGCTCTGGTTAAAAGACAAAGGCGGAGAAGCTCTGAGTTATGATGGCTTTTCAGACTGCGTTATTGTTTCAGTGACAGAGCTCTTAGTGCGTCTAGTGGAGTGGTCGCAGGCGAGTGGTAAACATTTCTCAATGTGTGAGAAGTCATTAATCCCTGAAGCCGAGGATGTCTTCACTACTGGTGTCTTTGGCCCAAGAAATCACAGCCGGTTGGCACCAGCAGGTCACACAGAGCTCCAACATAAACGCGTTGTACTCCAAAGCTGTTTAAATCTCTTCTAATGTGCCGTGGCTAAGGCAGACAATTCAGGAAAGGCAGCGGGAACAATAAGGTGTTTTGCACGTTCAATTTGTTTGCAAGTGAAGCTTGATGATGCATCTAAGGTCTGCCAATTTGTGGCCCTTTCATGAGATATGTTTTGTGAAGTGTACGAAAAAAGGTAGAAATAAGTTTGATTTGCTGATCAGAAAAGGAGCCAAAGAAAACCAACTGTTCAGGCTCTGACAGTGAAGTCCAGTGATACTTACGCTTTGTTGCTTTGAAATAAGAACACTGTTACCAATGCTGGGTTGCTACCCATGGCCCCAATTTAAAGGGCCATTTAAGCTCCAGGTGATTTGTGCCAAATCCAATTGAAATGATTTACTGAATAACAGGTGGGTTCCGGTATATTTTCTTATCTCGATGTCCTATCCTAAGAGGGTACTGGGGTCAAAATGTAGTTTGAAGACCTTCTTTATTGCAATTTTGTGCTTATACGTTGCATATGTCAAAATGAATTTGTATTTCATCAAATTACCACCCAATATGTCTGAGAAAAAACTTCCTCAGGGTAGGAGGAATGAGCTAAATTTTGCCTCAGGGCTCCATAGCAGGTTAATCCAGGCATTACTGTCACTGCATGATAGACAGAACGACACACGGGTGGCTAGTCATCATAGCTTAATATTGCATAAAAGTCCCTTCCGTCATGAACAATTTACAGTGTAATATAAAGGCTTAGTTTCATTTCCGTCTGGTAAATACTGTATAGGCCTACTTTTCTTTGCAACTAATTAATCCAGTAAGCCTTTTTTTCACAGAAGACATTTTGACTATTCACAGTAGGAAAAGCACAGGTGTAAATAATCAAATTAACAATGCTGAATTTAATTTAGCTTCTTGAGTTTGATGGTCCATTGTGCATGCTGGCTTGTTGTAATGAACACCTGAACAGAGCAGAGTCACTGTGACAATTTGACAAATCTAAATGTCTGAAGTGTTTCTGTTTGCTAAAAGTTGTTTCTTTATCATCATTAACAAGAAAAAAAGTAAAAAAGTGCATTATATTACTCTAATAGTAGGACTCAAATTGGCTATTGTAATGAGTATGCTACTTAAATTTTTTTCATTGCATGTTAAGTATTGTCTTTCAAGTGATAAAGTGTGTGATAAATTCTTGTCATTTCAAACTTAGTTAAGGGAATTCACTCTGCTGAGACAGTTCAAAGTAATCAGTTTAGAAGAGGCGGGACAGTGCGCTTATTTGCATGCCTAATTGGTCAGTACTGGAGCTCGAGCTTTGCACCACACCCACTCCAGCTCCAGCAGCAGAGTCCATCCATGCCTGTGGGTGTGGATTCGTTAACTCCGCCCCGCTCGTGCCGCCTCCAAGCGGACCGCAATGATTTAGAAGTTCAGGAATCCCACGTGACGTCACCAGGGGGTGACGTTATGCTTCTCTAAATAGATCGTATTGTAATCTTTTCTCAGTCCAACGTGGTTTCTTCTCAGAGACTGCTTCACATTTTCTACACTTGTTTGGTAAGTTGAAAACCTCACACCGCCATGCAGAGGACCGTGCACGCGCCGCTGCAGGTTGGTTGCGTTTGTTAAAATCGATCCTTGTTACTTTTTTCTCCTCCTTTTTTTTCCTCATGCAACAGCTTGTTTTGTTGTTTTTCAGCAGTCTCGAGATGTCATAATTTCTTCTTCTTCTTCTTCTTCTTCTTCTTCTTCTTCTTCTT